AAGCACATTTAAAAAAATTAGTTTAGAAATCAAGGTAAGAATCCAAATAAGTGCATTTTCCTTATGGCATACTTAAGGCAAACTTGATCATTTTACATTTGGGCAGTATTCAGCTTCCCTGAATATCAGATATAGACAAATGGGATTGTATAAAATCAGTATGCAAAAGGAGCAGATACTTCTGAAATATTCTCAGATATAGGAAAGTATAGAGAACATCAAAAAGTAGAGTTGTCTTTAAATTTAACTTTTTTATTTTCCACAGATAAAATGATACAAAGCTGTCTGAATAACAACACAACTGTTGAGAACAAGCTCAGGGCTCAGCATGTACCTCTATGTCCTGTGTGTGTATCTGTATAAACTTCCTATTCACTGTGCCACTGTTATTCTTAGGTGCAGCTGTTTATACTCATTGCTAGATGGCACTTTTACTCACAATTCTAATAACTTCCAATATGTGACACAGTATTGGGAAAAAAAACCAGCTATTTAGAGCTATTTAGGAATAACTACACTGGTGCTTCTGAAAATACAAAGTACTTCAAAAAGCTAATCTGAAAGACATATATTTGTAGTAAATATAAAGTAAGTTGTGAGAGTTATGTTTTCACCTCACATTGATGGGTTCTATAAAAACCCAAAACAAAACAGTTACATCTACAGCTACACATTATATTTTATTGCACTCCAGAAAAGAAGAACCTGAGTAGATAAAGATACATCATAAACAGTTTCCATGCTACTGCCATTACAAGAAATAAAAAACAGGAGTCTTGAGTTACCAGTTTAGTGAGATATTGAGTTCTCTACTAATGATTGTGCTGACCATGTGAAGAATAATCACGCCATGCAAATACTATTCTCTACTCTATTGGAGTCACTCACTCAATACAATATGCAGAGGTCAGAATAACAAATGGAAATTAAAATAGGCAATTCATCTTCAGTGTTGATGTAAATAAAACTCAGTTAAGTACTTATATATATTTGGTAAAACACCTTTTACAAGCAGAAAAATAAACAGAAGTGTACACGTGAGGGAGGAAGGTTGTGAAAACTACTTATAAAAAAGCATGAAAAATGAAAAAGTATTGGCAGACAACAAACTCTCCATTCTACTGCAGCACATTCAGCAGACTTCAGAGAACCACCTAAAGAATGCAGATCAAGTCAGATTTTCCTCTTAAGAATGAAGCATAATTACATTATTTCCTTACCTTGAAAAATTAAATGATGAGAAATTTTAAAGGAAATTTTAAAGGAAACAGGAATTGGAAAAGAACAACTATTAGGAGATATGACGCTGTTCTGTACTAAAGTAGATCATGTTCTTACTCAAAACTCTTCTAAGTAACTGCTTAAGACTTCTTTCAATGTTCTGTTTTTATTCAAACTAAGAATGGAAGACAGACATTAAAGTGAACAAGTCTCTGAAAATAAAAATGTAATTATTTGGTTATTTGTTACCTTAAATTAACATAATTATTAATGTAAAATTTATAATATCTTTTTGGCAAATGTTTCATATTTAACTGCCATTTCTGGTATTAAAAAATACCAGTGTCCAAGGAAACAGCATTTTATGAATGAGTTTTGACACATAAAAGGAAGGAAGGAGTCTAGCCATTGGTAACAAGAGAAACATTTCCTACCAGGATGTGACCGAATTTAATTGATATGGATGCCAAGATAGTAATTTCTCTGTTAAATAAATTCTCAGATTCAGGACTGAAATCTTCTATTAGATGCTACCATGCTTCACTGAAAGTGTACACAATCACTTTAAATAAAAATATTCTATATACATCTTGTGGTACTAGAAAACAATTATTCAAGCTGGTGATTTATAAAAAGTAGAAGAATGGAATAAACAACACAATAATATTAATGATGGGTAATTGAATAATCTCTATAGTGTTCAAAATGAGTAACCTTCATTCTTTCCACCAAGGATGATTATTTTTCTGTTTGTTTTTTTTTGTTTTTTTTTTAGAATGTTTCCTGAAGGATAAGCTAAGCACTTCTTTCTAAGAAAAGTCAATTCAGATTAAAGCAGATGTATTGGATCGCAACTGTGCCCATATTGTGTAACAGAGTATGGTGCAGAGATTTTGTCATGTTTTTGACAAAACCACAATTAGTACAGACATATATTGTATAACCACTCAAAGCTGCCTAATTTCCTCTGTTGAGATGTAGGACTGGTATAGAGGATATGATATTGATGAAGCTGCACCTCAAATCTTTCCAAATAACACTGCACTGGACATAACATTTCATTTGGTTCTAGTGTGGGAGAGCATCTGTTAGAGACTGACTGTGTAGCATAGATTTGCTCTTAGTTTACTCTTTTGTCACAGCTGTGAAGGCATTTATTTTGCCTCCAGTCACCTTTCATATACCATTAATATATTAGAGGGAACAATGGATACTATCTTCAGTATAAGCCTTACTGACTTCTTAATTGGCTTCCACTAGACTTCATCATGACACC